TTGCATGGCCTGTGTGTTTCCAGGTCTTCTGAGGAGAAAACTCTCACCAGAGTACAGGTGTTTGATGGAGAGTCACTGGTTGTTTAAGAGAAGAAAGTGTTTGGCAGTGGGGAAGTTGCTGAGCCAGCCTTCCCAGAGAGAAGCCATGTGATGCAAGGCAGTCTGGGACAGGAAGTCTCATGCTACTGGAGAGCTTCTCAGGATCCCAGTGGGAGGTGACAGCTTGCCTAGGGAATCCTCCCAGAGCATATGCCAGGGCACAGAAGGGCAGAATGTGCAGAGGCCTGGATCCTTAATGCTTCGAGCTGGAGGGATCAAGAGGATTGACTGTGGTTCCAGACTAGGCCTGCTACCCTAGGAACCAATGGGGCCACTGACCAGGAGGCACTCCACTCCAGAGGATTGAGTTTTGCCCTGGGGCCTTCCTGTGCCTCTGTCTTGGTCTCTAGACCCAAGCTATGAGCTGAAGAGAAAGTCTTTTGTCGTGAAGAGAGCTTTAGGCCGGCTACAGTGGCTGCATGGATGAACCGGAATACCAGTTCTAGCTGCTGTCAGCTCTAGAGCTTCTCTTAGAAGTTTGGGCACTTGGTGGCCCTGGACCAGAACCCGTTGTCCGTGTGTCCGTCGTCCCCCCCCCCCCCCCCCCCCCCCCCCCCGCAGTACCAATGTGTTTATTGGTAGATATACATATATAAATCAGGGCATGAACAAGTCCACTTCATTTCAGTACTTATAAGGTGGATAAGGTGGGATTGCTTATATTTTTAACCATTTGTTTCATACCCACAAAAACCATTTCAGAGGCATTAATAACCTTTTTTTTTTTTTTTGCAAAGTCAAGCAAAACCAAAGTTTGTTATTATTATTGTTGTTCTTTTTCAAGACAGGGTTTCTCTGTGTTATAGCTCTGGCTGTCCTGGAACTTGCTCTGTAGACCAGACTGGCCTTGAACTCATAAAAATCTGCCTGCCTCTGCCTCCCAAATGATGGGATTAAAGGCATGTACCACCACTGTCGAAGCCAAAGTTTAAGAGGTCAATTTTATTAGAGTATCTGGAGAAAAACTTCAGAGCAAGCGAGTTGTAAATCTCAGTAGCTGCCTGGAGGAGGAGACTAGAAAAGGAAAAACAGCTGTGTTCATTTGAGTTAAGCCAATGTGGGTCAGCCATGTGGCAGCGTACAGCTCCATGGTAGGAAATGGGGCATTAGAAGAATAAAACCCAAAATAGTAATGAAGATACGCTTACGTAAGATAGAAGAAAAGGGAAAGTTATGCTTCTCAGAGAACTTCAGAAAGCTGGCAGACTTATGAAACAGCGTGGCTGTGCACTGTAAGAAACTACTAGATATGTGTTCTGAGATATAAGTGTTGTTATGTCTGTTGCTATCATCACCGTCCCTGTCCCCCCTCCCCCTACTTCTTTTTTTTTTTTTTTAAGACAGGATCTCATAGGCTGGCCTTGAACAACTGATCCTCCTACTTCTGCCCCCAAATGCTGGTGTTATAGACATGCCATCACACCCGGTTTTGTACAGTACTGGGGATTGAACCTGGGACTTCATTATGTACTTGCCCAGTCTCAAGGTTATTACAATGTGGAGGTAGAAATGCAGGCAATATACTGTTACGACAATAGCCATCAATAGAAGTAGACTTTTTCTGCAAGACCCAACTGAAATACTACAACAATCCAAGCATTTCTGACTTGAATACTTTCTGTTACCTATACCTTATTCTCAAAGTAGCCAGATTGAGAGAATAGGGAAGAACAGAACCCCTTAGCAGAGTGATTGCACATGCCCTGGGGCAGAGACATTGGAGCATGTGCACACATCACTAGAAGGTAGCTAGCTGGCTCCCCTTAACCTGCTTTGCCTTCTCTTTTATCATCTTTAGGGTGACCATGGGAGAAAAGTAGGTGTAAGTGGGGGAGTTGAGATGAAGGCAGTGGATCCTCCTGTAGGCTTCTAGAGGTTAAGGTCCACTCTGTTAGTGCTTAAGAACCACAGAAACGTAAGTTCTGTTTGTCACCAGCCCCCAGGCATATAGGTGGAAGGTATTCATTCCAGCACGTTCGTACCCCCTCTCCACATTCTGCCACACTTTGCTCTTCCATCTCCTTTTGCATGCTTAACTGCAAGTTGGGCATTCTTTGTTGTTGTTCATTTGTTTGTTTTGAGACAGAGTCTAACTGTGGAGCTCTGGCTAGCCTGGAACTGACTATGTAGACCTGGCTGGTCTCAAACTCACAGAGATCCTCCTGCTTCTGTCTCCTGAGTACTGGGATTAAAGGTGTGTGCCACAATGCCAAACCCTGTTGAGGCATTCTTTTGTTTTGTCTTGTTTTTGAGACAAGGTTTCTCTGTGTAACAGCCCAGGCTGTCCTGGAACTCACTTTGTAGACCAGGCTGGCCCGGAACTCAGAGGTCTGCCTACCTCTGCCTCCCAAGTGCTGAGATTAAAGATGTATGCTACCACCACCCATCGAGGCTTTTTTGAAGTGATAAAGTAGGAGGGGCATCAGAGAGGTACCGAAGACCATGGAGGAGTTATCTGTTCCGCCTGTCATTCTCTCCGAGCAGCTCCATATGGTGCTCAAGAGCACCTGGGGAATCCTTGGCCTCGTTCCCACTGAATGGATGGATCTTTTTCTCAACCACTAGCCTTAGTACTTCTGTTATAACCACAGTGACCCCCATATACCCAGGAGTAATTTTCTTGCCATCTTCACCCAACTTCTCGCAGTTTTTCATTCTTACTGCAGAATTTTCGTAGCATAAATAAACACACACCAGTTACAACCCTGTACTAGGCTCTAGATTACCACATTGGACCAAAGTCTCTATCCTCCTAGAGTTTATGTGCCCTGAACTGGGTAGGATCAAGTGCTACAAAGAAAAATGACACAGGAATAGTTACCAGATTGCAGAAGAGCCTTTAGAAGAGGGGGTGTTTAAGGAGTAGTCTGAAGGAAGGGGTGGAGTGGACTGTCTTCTTTCAGGCTGGGGAACAGAGAAGGGACCCTGACAGGGAGGATGTGACTGGGGTTGAGAGGAGGAGAGAAGCAAGGATGTGATTGTGGGCAGCTCTATAGAGCCTCATTTCAGCAGAGATGCCCACTTGAATTAAATGCCACCTGAGAGGACTGAAGCAGATGAGTGCTTTGTGCTTTAAGAAGATCACTCTCAGCAGGCAAAGTCACTTGCCACCAAGTTTGACAGCCTGAGTTCAATACCTGGAACTCATGTGGTAGAAAGAAGGAACCAACTTCTGCAGGAGTCCTCTGATCTCCGTAGACACACAGTGACACTGCATGCTGGGGAACCTGTAGGCACATGCACACTCACCCACATCCTCACACACATATAAATGTAATTTTGAAAACAGATCACTCAAAGCTGATTGTGGTGGTTCATGCCTGTGATCTCAGCACTAGTACTTGAAAGGCCGAGGTAGGAGGACTGAAAAGTTTGAGGCCAGCCTGGTCTACATAGTGAGTTCCAGGCCAACTGTGCTACATAACAAGATCATGTTTTAAAGTGGCCAGTCATAGTGGCACATGCTTTTAATCCCAGCACTTGAGAGGCAGGGGCAGGGGGATATCTATGAGTTCAAGGCCAGCCTGGTCTACCTAGTGACCAGCCCAGCCAAGCTGCATAGTGAGACTCTGTCTCAAACAAACAAACAATGAAATAAGGAACTGGGCAGATGGCTCAGTTGGTGAAGCACTTGCTTCACAAGCATTGACAACCTGACCTCAGATCCCTAGAATCCATGTAAAAGCTGGGTGTGGTAGCATGTGCTTTTATACGGGAAATGGGTGAGATGGAAGGCAAGACAGGTGGATACCTATAAACTCACTGGCTGGCTATTCTAGCCTACTTTGTCAGGGTCCAGGCTAGAGAACAGTCCTGTCTAAAACCAAAGATAGAGCCTGAAAAATGATATCCAAGATTTTCCTCTGATCTCTACAGCCATGTACACACATACATACAGATAAAAGAGTAAAGTAAAATAATAAAACGGACTGGGAATATACCTCATGATTGAATACTTGCCTAGCATGAATGAAGCCCCAAGTTTAGTTCCCAGCACTGCAGAGATAGCATAATCACTGGCTGCTGTGTGAGGAATAGACAGGGGCAGGGGCAAGTCATAGTCTGTCACCCGTGTCTCTAAAAGCTCGAGAGAGCTCTTACTATTCGCCTGTCTGCCTCCAGCCACTGCTAAGGGAAGCCCATCCCCAAGCCACACCTTCACCCCTCCCCCCTTTTCACTCTCTCTGTGTCCTGGTTATGTCTTCATGCTTCCTAGTCCTACCCTTTGCTGTAGCCCAATGCAGCATGGCCTTCTCTGCTCAGCCATATTTTTGTGCTGTTTCTCCCCTCTACCCCCCAAAGCTTTAGATATTTCTTTTTTTTTTTTAAAGATTTATTTATTTATTATGTATACAGAAGAGAGCGCCAGATCTCATTACAGATGGTTGTCAGCCACCATGTGGTTGCTGGGAATTGAACTCAGGACCTCTGGAAGAGCAGTCAGTGCTCTTAACCTCTGAGCCATCTCTCCAGCCCCCGATATTTCTTTTTTTAATGTGCCTCATGTCTGAATATTTTTGCCCCTCCAGTCCTAATGCCCTAGAGAGCAGGGCCCATGTTATATTCTCTTCTGAGTCAGAGTCTCACAGGCTACAGATTGTAAATGACATCTTGTGTTAACGTTTCCCAGCCTTATCATCTTGTTGTACAATTTATTCTATTTATATTTGTACTCTGGGGCTCAGCATGCTGGCTTCTGGTCCTAGGGTTTGGAGCATCTGGACCCTTAGCCTGGCTGCTTTGTACATTGGCACGGAGCCAATAAGGAGGTAGACGTCAGGGTGGCAGCAGAATACAATTTCATGGGAGGAGCCTGGCCCAGAATTGGTTAGGGCTGAAAACTTAGGGCACTGGGTAAGGTTCAGAAAGCCTAGCCCTTTCCATCTCCCCTTGGATTTCAGACTTGAAGCTGCACCTGCAGAGTACAGACTATGGCAACTTCCTGGCCAATGAAGCGTCACCTCTGACAGTGTCAGTCATCGATGACAAGCTCAAGGAGAAGATGGTGGTAGAGTTCCGCCACATGAGAAACCATGCCTATGAGCCGCTTGCCAGCTTCCTGGACTTCATTACGTGAGTGGACCCATAGTGCTGGGCAGGGAGCTATAGACCTGCAGAAGTTGGCACCAGAATGGCCTAGGCCAGCTGTCGTTAAAGAATGTCTTTAAAGACTTCTCAAGTGGTATAACTAGACTGGTTGTTCAACAACTCTGGCCTTCAGGTCATAAAGTTTTGTTACCAGTCTCTTTCCCTGTCCCGTCATTGCTGTGGAGGTGTTAACGTCGCAGAAGCTGGGAAATTGGAGCTCCCCTCTTCACTTATTCTGTAGCACCCACATCAAGCACTCATTAGGTTTCCTCCTACTCCCATCTCATGCTAGAGTCAAAGGCCCAGGTGTAGACAGAACTCTGAAGAGCCTGGGATGGGCCATACAGTCCTTCTGCCCCTACTTAGGCTGAGGCCTGTTCTCCATCTTCTCTGACAGGTCAGAAAGACTGGGAATGGGTTTGAGTTGGAGGAGGCTGAATGCCTTGCCCTCCTTCACAGGAGCTAAAGTGGGTAGGTTCCCCATGTTTATAATAACCCTTGGTTGCACCAGCCTTCTTTACTGTGGGACTCTTGCCTATGCCAAGCTTTTAGAGAAGCTAAACAGAGAAGACCCTGGACTTCAGGACTAGAAGAGGCTACTTGGGCTAGTCCTATGTACCCGGGACCCTGAAAGGTAGAGAGATTGCCTCTGAAGGAATGACCTAGGAGTCGTGAGCCAGGGCTTGGCGGATAGAGAATGACTCTGGCCCAGATGGCTGCCTCATGCAAGTGGTGAGCTGAAGTGTGATCAGTGGCCAGCCTCTGAGTGTGCTGTGCAGTGTATGTTGTTAGGAAATGTATCCCCATGTTCTTCTGAGTGTCTTGTTTTTCCCATTCCTACCCTCTTGCTTGGGACCAGACACATTACTCCACTTGTTTCTTCTGAGACAGGGTTTTATGCTGGCTGCCTAGCCTGACTCCCTTTCTCAGCCAAGAGCGGCCAGTTGCACAGAATCCATCTACTCAAATGGAGGTTTTAGGCAGAGGGCTCCATCCTCAGGTAAAGCTAATAGGCTGGGGCACCTGAAAGGTGCAGGGTACTCCTATAAGCTGGAAAGCAAGCCTTTTCCTGGCTATAGATCTCCTCCCCTAGGTGCCTCTGCTAGGGAGTTCAAAATGGGCTCATGCTCAAACCACCTTTCTCCTCGTCAAGGTATGCCAATGTGGACCTAGTGGGGCAGGGCAGTTGGAGTGTATCACATACTGCCACTTTGGGTATGTGTGTGTCATACATCACTCTACCATGTTACCTAACCCCTGGCCTAGGCCTGTATCCCCTGCCCCAAGGCCAGAGCCAAGGACATACCAGGAAACTAAATTTATTGCCAGAGCTCAGTCTTCACCTTCAACTTGTTTGCACAAGGCTCTTTCAGCTTCCTAGTGAATGTTCTGGTCTTGGCAGCTAGGCTGGCTGGAGGAAGCCTGACCCCGTGCCAGTGGCCAGAGAGCAGAGGTTATCCAGATTGCTGCCAACTTGCCCACCTGCCTGTGCCTCTACCCTGGCCTGGCTGGGTGTCAGCCTGCCAGGCTGTGAAACTGGAGAGGGCTCTGAGTGTGACTGAGACAGAGCAGCCGCCGCCAGCTCTTTGCTGGAGATTGGCTCCAAGCACCAAGTGTGCTTAAAGCAGCCAAGTGCTGTCCTGTGGCAAGCTGTCCGAATCCACCACTTCCGCGCCTCTTCCATTCATGGGTGATTGTGGCTTATAGTCTTCCCCCACTCAGGAACAGCTCAGCAGCCACGTGTTGGCTAGTCTGAGCCTGTGGCTGCTTGTCTTTGACCCCTTCATTTCCAATGCCTGCTCCTCAGCTCTCCACCTCAGCTCACTGATGACTGCTGTGTCACCACCTGGAACTACTACGCTCCTGAAATCGCTGAGTCAGGCGGCCAGCCTCCACCCACAGCCTTCAGGCTTTCCAGCCCACTTTTAGTCCCTTGCAGGGCATGGGTTCTGGATTCAACAAGACACCAGGCCTTGCTTCCTTCCTTGCTATCCCTCTGTCTTCATTTCCCCACCTCCCTAGCTGAGGTTCCCTGGTCTATCATTTGAGCTGTCTTCTGCCAACATCTGCAATGCTCTTGGCTGCCCAACTCATGGTCCCACCCGACTGGCAGCCCCCCAGCCCTGGAGGAATCCCAGAGCCTCCAGCCTGGAGCTGTCCTCTCTCCACCTCCACTGCTGGGAGCAAAGCTGGGAAAGCCAGCTATATGGTGGGGTGTGGGGAGTGTCATTCCTACTAACAGACATACATGCTTACCTACTCAGCTAGCCTCAGCTTGTTTCTGCCCAGCAACTTTTTGCTGTCCCTACTCAGCACCCTGCAGTTCCCATCAAGAGTAGGATGACCCCTACCCATCCCAAACATCTTTTCTCTCCTACCTCTGGGCAGATGGCCCACATACTCCTCTACAATGTAATCAGAAGTCAGTACACCTTCCAACACTGCATCTGCATCCCGTTCCCTAAGTCCATTCCACCCTCCTTTCCTTGAGCTCCCTCTACCAGCTTTCAGAATCCCTTCACCCTTTCCTGGACCTGAATGGCCACACCTCTTTACTTATGTGTTACCACCTTCCCTTTCAGGTCCCTCCCATGTGCTTCTAGCAGCGTACCTGAATCTTTATTATAATTAACCACCCTTAAGAACTCATTCACGGTGCCTTATCTTTTCCTTCACCTCCCCTATCACTCATGCCTGCAGTCATTTCCCAGAAGTTCTGTCACTCCACAACAAAGCCCTGGCTGTGGTCACTCTTGGCTAATGTGGCCAAGGTCTCCGGGACTGGCCACTGGTAGTGCCCGGCCTTCGGCCCTTTCTTTTCCCCTGTCTGACTGACTTAAGTGTACTTCCTTAGCTGCCCTTTCTCTTCCACTGCCCTAGCAGATCATTCTCGTGTGGATACAATTTTGGAAAGAGATGAGTGAAACTTTCCTTTGGGCTCTATGCTGGGGGTGGGGTAGGGCTCCCCCAGATTGGGGACTCATTCCCCCAAGGAATGGCTACTTGGCTGAGGAGAAAGGTATCTGAGGGAAGAACTAGGGGTAGGAATCCAGGCTGAAGGACTCTGGCTGAGTCCAGAGCCAGTGCCAGGAGGAAGCACCGTGGATGCAGAGCGATAGTGGTGCTGAGGGAGCAGAGGTGACAGTAGATGTGGCTGTCTGGCATCCTGCAGACAGTCCAAGTGAAGTGGACTGCAAGGTGTGTCTCAAGTGACCCAGCGCGATTTTATAGTGCTAACACACTTGGTGTGCCTTCACACGACGGGCTCTGCCAGGCCTGGCCGTTAACTTGCTGTGGGACTTGGGATAGAGCTTGTTGTATTCAGGGTTTTGAGTTTTTGTTTGTTTGTTTGTGCACTGAAGGAGACCTTTATCTGGCCTATTCCATAATGTTTTCCCATAGGAGAGCCAGTCCTAGAAGAGAAGTTGGGAAAGTTGTTTTTAGGAGAGTAAGCTTGGTCTCTGGGACATCTTCAGGTAGACCCTAATGCCCTTGTTTTTAAATGAGTGAGCCTCTAGCAGGGGCCCTCCCCAGTGTATAACATCTGCCTGTAGCCTACATGCCCACTGGCAGAAACTGTGGTTAACCTGTACCACCTGGGAGAATTGCATCTGCTGAACTGAACACCTGGAAGGAAGCTTTGCCCCAGGACAATGGCCCCAAGCATCCAATAGGCCCACCAAAGCATCTGTTATCCTCTTCAGGACATGTTGCCCCCACCTTGGCCCTGCTTGGTCATAGAGCAGGCATCAGGGTTTCCCAGGACTTTTTATCCTGACTGTTCCCAGTAAGCTGAGTGTGTGGGTGGACCACAGGTCTCTGCTAACTGAGGCTTTGGGGCTGCTGTGGGTTCTGTTTCCTTGTCTCTCTCTGTCACGGAAAGAGAGCCAGTACTGACCCTGTTCTTCTGACTTGGAGGAAAGCACCACTGTGAGGGGCTCTTCAGGGCCCCAAAGGCTCAAATCAGATGAGATAATCCAACTGGGCCTTGGAGGAGGGTCAGGATTTTAATGAAGAGATGGTCAGAGCCCACTAACTCTTCTGTGGACCACATCTCATTCATTCTGGTTGCAGAGGGGAACTTGAGGTTTAAGAGGAGATGTACTGAGGCCATAGCAGAAACTTCTGTTCATTTTCAATCCTGGGTGGGCCTCTTCAGGACCTAGATGTAATTGAATACAGATACTGTCACTAGCAACAAATGAGGACCCTTGGTGGGGACCTGCAGGTGGCAAGTTGGCAGAAGTGCTGAGAAGCTATGTTGCTCCAGCAGGTGGCACTAAAGGACACAGTGGAGGGACAGGGTTGGCTAAGGACTCTAAAGGCTTCTTTGAAGGAAGTAGCTTCCTAAACTCCAGCCTGAGACTTCTCCCAGCCCAAGCTATTTGGAGGCACAGGGCAAGCAGGGGAGGGCCTCAGGGCAGGGGATTATAGACTGCCCTACCCCCACCCCAAAAGGGCCTCTTTGGCCTGGCGGGCAACGGGCCATCCACTCCCCAGCTGTCTTCCTCTGGAGGGAGATGCTGACCAGCTGGAACTTCATTCTCTCTTTTGAGGCCAAATGAGGGGAGACATGGCAGAGCAGCTCTCTGGGGGCAGGGAGGCAACTGCTGAAGCGCCAGGCAGAGAGAGGAAGGTTCCCTACTTGCTGAAGGTAGGAAGGCGTATGGCTGGATCTTATCATCTCTGCCAGGCCTGTCCTGCCTTCCATCTCCCAGGAAAGAGGATTCTGAACCTTCCTGTGCAGGAAGGGAAAGCAGGGGCCTCCACTGAAGCCTCCTTACAGTGGGCCCAGGAGGAGGGGAGTGCTCGGCCTGGCACAGGACGGAGCCTGGCCTGGCCTGTGCAGGAGGAGGAGGAATGGAAGGGCTGAGTGCTACGATTTGAGTGGCCCTGACTGGGCCCAACAGTCTCCTCTGTGCTCAACTAAAGCGTGTAGCAAAGAGAGGCTTGGGAAAGCTAGAAAGGAGGGAGAGCCACTACTGGCTTCTCCATTCACTGTCCTAGCTGGACGTGAACCACAGCTGGCTTCTTCCACTCACTAGAGGGATAGCAGGGAAGTCAGGTGACAGTGTCTCCCTACAGGGCCCACAGGGTTTTCTTCTGAGGATGGGCCAGGACCCTCAGAAATACTCAGACACCTTCTCTGGGCTCTTATTCCAGCCTTGCCCCTAGCCTAAACGGATAAGAGACCCTGGGTTGTGGGCACCAGGAGGGGGTAAGTTTAGAATGAGGAAACTGGGTGTGGGGTGGCTCTGAGAAGATCGAGGTGGGCGTTTAGGACTAGAACATCAGGTGCCAGCGGTAGGTAGGTTGTGTGTGGACAGTGGCTGTAGGAATAGAGCTCCTCTGCCTTAATGTTGAGTTAGGGCCTGGTAATAGCCCACTCTGGGTTTATCTGCCATGGTGCTAAGGCCACATGGGATCATTTGAATAATGTAAGTCCAAGGATGTGCTGTTCTTTAGCTTACCTAAAGGGTCTAAGAGGAAAAAGGACATTCTTAAGCTCTAGAGTGCGGTCTTTGTGGCTGTCTCTAGAGGTATGTAGATTTTAGTGAGGCTGGATTGGGTGCAGGTTAAATAAAGAAGGGTGGTATGTGTGTCCTGGGATATATGAGATATAGAAGATGTCAGAGGCAGGAGATGTCTAGAGTGGAGGAGATACAGGTTGAGGCCAAAGTACAAAGCTCTGGCAGGCTCACTCTCTCTGCTGTACCCCCACTCTGCCAGTTCTGTGGGGTCAGGGATGGGAGGCTGGCCATATGGGCCTCTTGGCTTGCAACTACAAATGGGCCTTGCCTGAGGCCCTTGGTTTTGGAAGGGGAACCCTGTCTCTTCTCAGTGCATATCCTATAATGACCCAGCCAGATTGGGTATGGAAAGAGGGCTGCTGCCTGGCCCCAGGCCCAGGAGACCAGTGTTCAGCAAGCCAAGGAGTATGGGTTGGGCTGGGACAGGAGCTGGGGCATTTTCCTGCACCTTCCTTGAGGGCCTTAGAGGAACACCCCAGTGGCTGGCTCTTTAAGCTGAGGTATGGGCTCTAGGCCACCACCTTTTCCCTTTATTCCCTTGGTACTGGGTACTACCTCCTACAAGGCCTTCCCTAAAGAGTCTCAGCATTAGGTACTCAAGATTTGTCACAGGGATGGAGCCCAGCTCTAGCCCACCTAGAAACAGAACAGGACCTGTGCTCAGGGCCCAATTTACAGTAGCCTCCATCTTAATCCTTACCCTTTCATGGCCCAGACTGGCCTTTAAGGACATTCTCCTGGGGCCTAATCCAGCTCCTTTATACTCCAAGTTTATTACTTGTAACAGGATGGGTTACACTTGGGCCTGCTGCAGCCTGACTGTAGCTGGGTCTTCTCTCTCCCCTTCTTTTCCTTCCCGTAGGTGGTTACACAAAACTCTGCCCCAGCTCCTCTGTGGCTATGTTTTTCAGTTGGAGACAAGTTGTCTTGGTTGTCCCTTGCCAAGTCTTAACTAGGCAGCCCCACCCTCCCCAGCTCCACAGCTCCCTCTGCTGCCCGTGGCAAACAGAGCTGTCCTCTTGCAGGGCCAGCCTAAGAGACGAAGCCTAGAACTGACTTGAGTCAGACTAGCCTCTGGATCTCATACAGGCCCTCCTGAGTAGTTGCTTAAACTGGCATCTGGCTGTAAGGAGGAATTTTTTCTGTCTTCAAGGTGGGGCTGTGCAGTCCGCCTGACCTAGTCCTTCATTCTTAAATGGGGCCTCTATAACTCTTCTCTGGCCTTTCTTGGAGAAGCCTCTCCCCAACCCAGCCCATTCCTTAGCCTTTCCCCTCTCCCTCTTCTGTCCCCCTCAACTTAAAGGAGCCAGAGTAGCCCTAACTGTACTGTGGTATCCTGTTTTCAGCCCTCTTACAGCCCCAGTGTTTGCGGTGAAGTGGAAACCTTCTGCCTGGCCTGGGCTCAGTCTCCAGGCAGCCCTCTGCTGACAGCCCTGCCTCACCAGCAGCTCTGCCTCCCTTTCCCTTGGCCAGTCTCGACAGTACTTGGTCCCTAAGTCCAGTCTCACTCAGTGTGTGCCTCTAGGCCTTCGGATACTACTAGTCTGTCTTTCCAGGACACACTTTCATCTCCAAGTCTTTTTATCTGTCAAGCTCCCGACCATACCTACCTCTAGGATGGGTTGTATACCTCACCTGCATATGCCTGTGGTTCTTGTGTACTGTTGGAACACAGTTCACACTGTAGGAGAGCTACTTGTGTTCCCATCTTTTGTGAGGCATAAATCCACCATCCTTTCAAAGGAGAGGCTGCCTTTACCCTATGTTCCTGTTCCTGGGGGTAGGGAGGTAGTGGTGGTCATGGTGACAGGAACCTGGGTGAAGAGATACCAAAGGACAATGCCTCTGGAGCCTATCATAGCATCCATGAGCCAGCGCTTATGCTTAGGAGGTGCTGACCCATGCGTTGTGTGGGCAAGGGTATTGGGCCAGGCCTTTTACCCTAATAGTCTGCCCTGTTGTTGTCTGCTTCTCACAGTTATAGCTACATGATTGACAACGTGATCCTGCTCATCACTGGCACATTGCACCAGCGTTCAATCGCTGAACTTGTGCCCAAGTGCCACCCACTAGGCAGCTTTGAGCAGATGGAGGCCGTGAACATCGCACAGACACCTGCAGAGCTCTACAATGCCATTCTGGTGGACACGCCCCTGGGTGAGCCACTGTGGTGGAAACAGCTGCTGGACAGTGGTCTTAGCACTGGAGCCTCAGTGTGGTTGTAGATTGTAGAGGTGGGGCAACCCCAAAGCAGAAAGTGAGAATCTGCCTGCTGCTGCTGACCTTGCCCTTCCCTCAACTTCCCATTCTCATTATTTCCCAGCCCACTTCTTCTCCTTTCCCTTTGGGTTTTCTAGGCCAGACAGGCAACCCACAGGGCAGATTGAGACTGTCTGGCTTTGGAAATAGTCTAGTTTTTCAGAATTCAGAGGAGGGCTGAATGAACTTATGGAAGAGTAAGGGGCGCTTGTGTCCCTTGGAGTCCTGAGAGGTCTGGTAGACTGTGACCCTAAGCAGAGATGCTAAGGCCGGCTCCTTATGAGGTGGGAAAGAGAAGCAAACAGCTTCATTTGACTCCACTGAGCAGGTCCTAGAGGCCAGGTCAGCCAGTGTCCAGTAGGATGCAGGGTTCGTGTCAGAGGCCAAGGAAGGGAGTGGAATCAGGAAAGCTTCTGTTAGCCCTGCCGCACTCGTGTTGGCTCCTGTCTGCCTGAATGCTGGAGAGAAGACGTGAGGTTCATAACTAGTTAGTACTCTTGTAGCCGAAGTCTAAGCCCTGGGGAACTATTCCAGGAAGCCACGAGAGTTGAGTCAGAAGGTTCTAGGTTGAAAAGCCCTGTCTGTCCACCTAGTTTGCCTTTGAGTCTCCCATTATCTCTGAGCTAGCTTTGGGATGTTTTGTGGCTTCTGCAGTTTCTTCATCTTTAAAGGAGAGAAATCAGGTAAGTCTTCAGGCCCTCCTTGGGAGTGAGGTTTCTTGATCCTGCCCTAGCCTCTCCTCTTAGTCCATGTCTAGCTCCTCATTCTTACCTAAAGGAGGAGGCTAGAATCCCATGGATTTCAGCCCCCAAATCCATAGCTGCCCCTGGAGAAAGAGAATCTCATGGCCGATTATGCAAGCCTGTCTTTGGCATGGTCTGATCTTGGGTCTGCCCCAGCAGTGATTAGATCATGTTATGGCTGGCCGCCTCCTTTATAAATCAATTTTAGGAGCAAGGAGGCAGGAAAAGCTCAGGTCAGTGCACATGGCCCAGAGAGTTGCTTCTCCCACTTCCAAGGCCACATCCCAGGCTGTATTGGGGGTCCCCAGTACCTAGCCTAATGGGCCTTGTAACGTGGCCCTCTCACTTAGGCTGCTTACCCACTCTTCACATCCTTGTCTTCCCTCCCCAGCGGCTTTTTTCCAGGATTGCATCTCAGAGCAGGACCTTGATGAGATGAACATCGAGATAATCCGAAATACGCTTTACAAGGTAGTGTTCTTTAGAAGCATGGGGGCTGGGGGTTGACTTGTCAGTGGGTGGTGGGTCTGTGGGCCTGATAGTGGGTGAGATGCTGGGCCGGGATTCATGTGCATCAGGCTCCTGTCCTGGGGGCCTAGCCTCTCACTCTCAGGCTCCTGTGATGGTTGCAAAGTTACATGGAACAGGCTATCCATTCTGTGGTGTCTGCAGTGGGCTCAGATAACATCAGCAGGAGGGAGCGGCTGGTGCTCTGTCACTTGGCCTGTCAGACCTGGCTTCTGGACAGCCGCTCCTGTAGCATCCATGAGGGTCATGGGCCACCACCCAGGCCACAGCCCTCAGATTTATACCATATGTGCTTTTGCCAGCCAGGACAGGCACTTAGGAAAAGGCAATACTATATGCTTAGTTATGTGGGAGAGGGATCCAGCCAAGCACAGCCAGGTCATTATGACCTTTTCAGGTTCCCAGACTCTGAGCCAGTACCTTATATCTCACTGTCTTTAGCTTCTACTCGCCTTTTGCTTCACTAGGCTGTGGCACAGACTGGCTAGCCTCTGGGGATAGAGTGGACTTGGGATTCCTGGGTTCCCGCAGTCATGGCAGAGATTAAGAGGTAGCTATCGGATCTTCTGGTCTTTCTGTGGAGCCGGGGCCAACGTACAGCAATGATCTGGTGGTAGATGGTAGAAGCTATGATAATGCAGGCAGAGGGTGGTATAAACAAAAAGGAAGCCAGGAGCAGGGCCAGGCCAGACGGCAAGGGCTGTACTGTGAAAGTGCAGCTTTTCCATGGGAAGCGGGGAGGAGGTCTGAGTCTTGAATGCCTGATCAAAAGTTTGAATTTAGTTGGGAGTGGTGTTGCATACCTCAGAATGCTCAGAAAGCTCAAGCAGGAGAATTTTTACTAAGTTCAAGATTACCTTATATATGTCGTGAATTCCAGGTCAGTCAGGTCTCCATAGTAAGAGCCTGTCTCAAGAAAAAAAAGTAAGCCAGTCATAGTGACACATGCCTTCAATCCTAGTACTCAGGAGGCAGAGGCAGGCAAATCTCTGTGAGTTTGAGTCCATGTATTAAGTTTCAGAACAGCCAGGGCTATATAGTGAGACCCTGTCACAAAACAAATAAACTACAACAATAAGCAAAAAAAGGTAAGTTTGAAGTTTGGGCTGACAAGATGGCTCAGGAAATGAAGATGCTTACTGCCAAGCTAGACAGCCCGAGTTTAATCCCTGGGACCCACATGGTGGAAGGAGAGAGATGACTCCCACTAATTGTCTTCTGACCTTCATGTGTACATGTACACAAAATAAGTAAAAGGTGGAAAAAAACAACAGCAACAACTTTAGGTGTGAGCCTTAAGTCTAACAGAGCAAAGTATTCTTAGAAGGCCCTCTATGACTGCAGGGTGGAAGGCAGAGTAGAGGTAAGGGGTACATGCAAACATACACACATGTGCGCACACACACAAATACACATATACATACGAAATTTTATATTGTCCCACACACTCACCTGGCTCATTGACAAATTCCCTGCCCTAGACAGGATGAGGGGTGTGGCTATCCCCCCAGCCTTACCCACACCCTCACTGGGCCTGACTGGTTTTAGCTGGAGTCACTGGCAAGGACTGCCCAGGAACCAGCTCATAAACACCAACCCAGCTCTATGGACCCCATGCCAGAACTGCCTGCCTGTCAGGCAGTGAATGTCCCAGCCCAGTGGCCCCAGATGGGAGATTAGGTGGACCCTCAGTGTCTGGCAGGTAAACTGTAGACAGCTGGTGCAGAACCATGGGCTGGCAGACTCCAGGGTACAGGGTGGGGTTGGGGAGGTGACCTTGGTACCTGGTTCTTGCCAGTTTCTTTGCTGCTGTAGCCTCTGGAGGAAAGTATAGACCTTAACCCAAGGGTCAGCTTCTCTGGGGATCAGTACAGCTTGGCTAAGCAAACAGGTTAGGTAACAGGGCATGGAACCTAAAATCTGGCTAGTAGTTTCCCCTACAGATAGGAACTGCAGGCTCCACCAGGGTAGGTCCTAAGATTCCAGCATAACCAGCTTGGCTGGCCATAAGGAAGGCTATGGAGCACTGACTCCTGGAGGGATTGAGAAGTACCACCAAGCCCTGGTGGGAGCTGGGAACCATTTCTGCTGCAGGCTTTTGATTCTCTGAGATCCTCTGTGTTGGGCTCTGTTTGTTCTTTCCTTCCTTCCTTTTTTTTTTTTTTTTTTAGTTTTTTGTTTGTTTGTTTGTTTGTTTTGTGGTTTCTTGAGACGGGGTTTCTCTGTGTAGTCCTGGCTGTCCTGGCATTTGCTTTGTAAACTAGGCTGGTCTGAAACTCAGAGATCCGCCTGCCTCTGCCTCTCAAGTGCTGGGATTAAAGGCATGCTCCACCACTGCCCGGCCTGCAGGCTTTTTCTTACTGCTGACTTACACTAGCTTTTTGTTTCCTGTGATCTCGTTGGTCACCTGCGGGTTTTGCACTGAGCATAGTATCACTGTGCTTGTGGGGCTCTGGGGCTCATCTCGTCTCTCTTGGAATAGCAGGTCCTGTGGGTCCAAGCCGGCTCAGAAGGCACACCTGAATGTGGAAAGTTTTTCATTCCTTACAAGCCCCCCAACCCCAACTCAGAATCGTCCTTAATATGTGGATCCAGAGTCTCTGACCATGTTACGTATGGAACCTTAGGTGATATCTAAGTGAAGTTTCATGCAAGATTGTTACCCAGGGAGTCTGCCAGATCATGATGAGGGGGAAGGTATTGGAAAGAAACCTGTGTGACTTTATAAATTAGAGTCAGGAAAGACCTTGTATCTGGGGTGACCTGTCCTTTCCTCATGCCCAGCAGATCCAATTTGTCTGGACAAAAAGTACTTATTTCCGCCGGCAGCCCATGTACCTAGTTATTGACGGTGAGGCCTGCATTCACATAGGCGATAACCATCCTTCACCAGGAACTGACCTGATAATTTGGTTCCTGCTGTTTGTTGATGCCAAGGGGCTGCCTGGGGCTGGGAGGAGTAGTGTTCTGCAAGGTGGCTTCTTGCAAGGGAGGGATTCAGTCCAGACCATTTGTGAATTCTGAGGATAACTGTCCCTCACTAGCCCTTGGATACCTGGTTTTATGAGGCTAGGGAAGGGGAGGTTTCTGGAGACTAGGAGAAAAGGAAGGCAGAGCCCCTCTAAGGTTGGCTGTCAAGAGAAAGGGGTGGGAACATGTACCCTGAAGCAGACAGTGAGTCAGAAACTGTTCTGTCACCCCTAGATAGAAGACAGCAAGCTACTACTGTTTGGGTGATTGATTGTTGAAATTGGTAGATGTTTTGGTACAGGGAAATTGTCATGGCATGAGCTGGCCCATCCCTACCATAAAAAGGCTTAGATGAAGAAGTAAACTGACTAGGTTTCTTTTTGTTTTTTCTTTTTCTTTAATGTTTGTGGGTTTTTTGTTTGTTTTTTAATGTGCATTGGTGTTTTGCCTGTGTAAGGGTGTCAGGTCTCCTGGAAATATAGTCACAGACAGTGTGAGCCATCATGTGGGTGCTGGGAATTGAACCCCGGTCTTCTGGAAGAGCAGTCAGTGCTTGTAACCTCTGAGCCATTCTCCAGCCCCTGACGAGCTTTCCAATAAGTCTCCCAATATTGCTCTCCTTGCTCTAAGCAAGCACTGTCCTCTCTGCAGGCCTATCTGGAGTCCTTCTACAAGTTCTGCACTCTGTTGGGTGGCACCACAGCTGATGCCATGTGTCCTATCCTAGAGGTGAGTGCCTGCCCTACCGCTCTGCCTTTTGTTCCCACTGACCCTTGCCACTGACTGGCTATGGTCTCCCTCGTCTTCCCTCTCTCCTCACCTCTGCACTGGCCCTGCAGTTTGAAGCAGACCGCCGCGCCTTCATCATCACCATCAACTCTTTCGGCACAGAGCTGTCCAAGGAGGACCGTGCCAAGCTCTTTCCACACTGTGGCCGACTCTACCCTGAGGGCTTGGCTCAGCTGGCTCGGGCTGATGACTATGAACAGGTCAAGAATGTAGCTGATTACTACCCGGTGAGTGCTCTGACTGATGAGATTTAGGTGACCATGTTGGCACCCCCAGCACCCAGAAGTACTCATACTTGTACTTCTCCCCATTTCCTGGCCAGGAATACAAACTGCTTTTTGAGGGTGCAGGTAGCAATCCTGGAGACAAGACCCTGGAGGACCGATTCTTTGAACATGAGGTGAGTACAGGGCCCTTGTGGAACTTGCCCAGTATAGGGAGGGTTGTGACTTAGGACTTAATGACTGCTGGCCACAACCACCTGTGCATCACACCTGCCTCTGTCCACAGGTGAAGCTGAACAAGTTGGCCTTCCTGAACCAGTTCCACTTTGGTGTCTTTTATGCCTTTGTGAAGCTTAAGGAACAGGAATGTCGCAACATTGTGTGGATTGCTGAGTGCATCGCCCAGCGCCATCGCGCCAAGATCGACAACTATATCCCCATCTTCTAGCATTCCAACCCAAGGCTCCCAAATGCACTGTGTGTGTCTTTGTATGCTGTGTGAAGCCCATGGCTCACTAAGTGTCTGACCTGGTGAGGTGTAGCATGTCGTCCTGGGGTTGCCCAGCTTCCATGACCCCCTCTGGGACTACTCTTAGGCCTAAAAAGGGGTTAGGGACCTCTCCCCTGATAAAGAATGGACCAAGATCCCCTCCAGAGCAAAGAGCCCCCCAGCCCTCTGTTTACAGCCGCTGACATGTCTAAGAAACTTGTGTCACTTTCACGCCCCTCCCTAACCTGAGAACCCCTGGGGCAGTGTGAGCCTTCTTCCCCTTCTGTGGAAGATTAGAGGGGGTGTCTTTGGGGTATGGGGGAAGTAGCTTTGCAGCCCCTCTCTCTAACTCAGTTCTGCCCCTCTGAGACAATAAAATACCCCTCTTTAAAAAAGCCTACTGTCTGCTACCTCCTTTGGGACCTAGTACCTCTCCTTGACTCCCAGCTCTCTTCAGCACTGCACCCTTGATTGAGCCTCTGCTGTGGTCGGCAACCACAAGGAGGAGGCTCTTTCTGCTGGAGCTCAGGCACAGAGACAGGCTGAGGTGGGGTTGTTGGAGAGGTGTGTCTTGGGTCTGGGGGCCCCAGACCTCACTCACTGCTCACATGCCCTGTAACTCTCCAAAACAGTCACTGTCTTCATCTCACTGTGTAGAAACCCAGTTCGAGTATTTGCCTGAGGTCAGTAGAAGAGAATATGAACCACAGAGTGCCTGGGATGCCCAATCAGCTCCTCTGCTGGTCCCAGGATATCCCTGGCAGTATCATGTAATCACACCCTGTCACCCAGGCAACCAGGCAGTCACCTCCTTGAAACACTGATCTCCCCCATTCTAGGAGAAATAAAAATGTGTCTTTATTTTAAAATGCCAACAACCAGACAAGTGCAATGTGTAGCTTCCCTGTGGTTTGGGAGCAGGTAGTTGGGGACCTAATTCTTGAGCCAGTCAAGAGGCAATTGGGATTTACTCTGGACTTGCAGCACTTAGGCACTGGTGCCGAGAGAATCCTGAGGAGATGCCCACCTGCCTAATCACTCTTCAGTTTGCAGAGAAATGATCTGTAGAATCCTATCAAAGGCTACAGATAATCTCTCACCAAACTCTCCATCCAGCTGGGTTCTCCAAGCGGCAGTGTGGAGCATTGTATCTGGTAGGGTATGTGTGGGTTCATGAAGCAGTGGAAAGGTCCAGAGGTTCACTAGCAACCTTCAGCTTCCCAGGCCTGGACTAGGCATCAGCAGTAGAGTCTGGGCTTTTCTTAACATAGACTCTATGGCAGTGGTTCTCAACCCTCCTAATGCTGTGACCCTTTAATACAGTTCCTCATGATATGGAACCAGATCATAAAATTATTTTTGTTGCTACTTCATAACTAATTTTGCTACTGTTATGAATTATAATGTAAATATTTTTGGAGATAGAAATTTGTCAAAGGGGTCACGACCCACAGGTTAAAAACTGTTGTTCTAGGGCAAGGTTGAGGGGTTTATAATAACTAGGAAAAAGGGCCAAGGGCTCATGGAGCCTCTTTTGCTGGAGCACTTAGGCCATTTGTGGCTCACCGAGCTGCCACTAGGGAAGGGTTTGGGTCCTGGGGTGTGTCCTAAGCAGGAGCAGGGCCAGGTTGGCCAGACCTCAGTGCTCGGGGCAGAGGGTGACTGATGAAGAAATTCTGCAGGAAGCGGCGTCGTAGGCTCTCTGGCAGGTAGTGGTGGATGAAATACATGAGCATCAGGCCACGGCCTGGGTAATAGCGGCGGCGTGGCTGAGCTGCCAGCAGTGCATCAATGATGGCGTCTACAACTGGGCTGAGGTCAGGCACTGCCATGCTGAGTGAATGCAGGAACTGCCCATGCAAGTGCTCGATGTAGTCTTCGCCATAGGCCTGCAGCAGCTCTCCAGGCAGGTTGGCCAGCAGCAGTTGCTTGCGCTTCTCCCAGAGGTTCACATTGGTAACCGACTCTGAAGAAGGCACGGCAAGGTCAGCAGGCAGCAGCTGGAGGAGCCAGAGGCTACTAATCTGTTTAATGTGAACTACGTCTATAACCCAAGTCAGACTAGATCCTCAGACCACACACCCAGGCCACATGCATGCCCCACCCCAAACCTGAACCCTCACCTGTCTTGAAGCAGCCAGGCTGGATAATGCTGACCTTGATACCCCAGGGAAGCAGTTCACAGCCAAATGTGTCCATAAGCAGTGCCACAGCTGCCTTGGAGGTTCCATAGGCTGCCAAGCAGGGATACGGCATGTCTCCTGGGGATAGGAAGGGGAAGAGGCTGCTCAGCCTTGGCCAGGAGTTCCCCAGATCATTCCTCACCCCATAGCTTCTCCTTTACTACTGTGCCTCAGAGCACTTACCTGCTGGGCTGCCAATGGTCACAATACGTCCCCTTGAGTGACGCAGGAGTGGCAGGAGGCCCTTGGTCAGCTCAAGTGCACCAAAGAAGTTCACCTCCATGCAGTTTCGGAAAGTTGCCACTGGAGACAGCTCCACATCGGCCACTACGCTGTTGAGGCCAGCATTGTTAACCAGACCCCACAGGCCTGAGGCACAAAGGCAGGAGGGAAGGTCCAGTTCAGCTGACAGCAAACATGCAATCACTGCCTCCCTCACTCGCCCAGCCGTGCCCAGCCGTGCCCAGCCCTATGGAGCCACGTCTGCTGACCAGTGCCTGTGGTGTGAGCCTTGGTGAATTCCAGCACTCGACTGATGTCCTCTGGCTTGGTTAGGTCCAACTCCAGCAGCTTTAAGCGAGGGGAACAGCAGGCACGAAGTTCGAGGGCACCAGGGCTATCCAAATCCAACACAGTGGCCAGCACCGTGAAGCCCATGGCATCCAGTTTCTTAGCTGTCTCCTTGCCAAAACCAGTGTCACAACCTAACCAGGGTAAGATAGCCAATGAATTCCCACAATGGCCCAGCCCACCCTAAGACAAGCCAAGGATCACCAGTATCTGGGTAGAACCTACGGTCTTGAACACTCAGCCCTCCCTCCTTCCTTACAAATAAATGTATGTTTTAAGTTTGTCCTCTTGGCTGAGCCCTGAGCATCAATTCTGTGACAGCTGTCTTCTCCCTGATTTCCTATAACCCATCAAATGTGAGTGATAAACCTTACTTTATAGAAGAATCAGAGACCTAGTCTGGTCCCATCTTATCTCATGAATCTACTTCCTAAGCCAGAGGTATATTTTAAAAAACGGCAGTATCACTCTGCTGCTGCTAATTCCCAGAGGCGTTGTCTTCCTTAGGATCTTGTGGGCCTTAGAATAAAGCCACGATCTCTGATGATATCATCCTGGGCACTCCTCTCAGCCTCAGCACCCCCTACTATTGTTCCAGGGGCAATTGGAGCTCCATGCCCAACTTCCCCTTGAAATCTGCTCTTGGAATTCCAATCACTGACTTTGGGGCATATGTGTTTGCTGAGCCCCAGACCATTTCCCTCTCAGGACAGGAGCCATGCAGGGTAAGTGAAGAAAACAGACCTGCGCTGGAATCCCTTCCCACCACCAAGTGTGACCTGAGGTCAGCTACCACTCATGGAGGTTTCATTTTCTTGTCCTTGGTATGCAGAGATAAGAACCACCAGGCAAGGCCCCAGTGTGGGGGTCCCTGGTACTGATAAGCCCTTGCTTCCTTGATGGTTTCCATTCTGATCCTGGCTCTGTGGGTGGCCAGTGAAGGAGGAGGAGGGCCAGTGAAGGAGGAGGTGCTGTGGAGCCCGCCAGCCCTGAGGTCCTGCTAAGCAGAAAAGCTGCTTTGCAGCTCGCCTGGCTTCCCGTCTCCCGGACAAACAGCACCCTCCTGTCTCAGCCCCGCCCCCTATGCTGAGAAGAGAACAAAGCTGGGCAGGGGGCTGCAAACGGGGCTTTGTGTGCCTGGGGCCGGCCAGCCAGTGTCGAGGGGTCCTTCTCAGGCAAGGGACTGACTGGGGGAGGGGAATGTGTGTGCACAAATACACACACTTGCCTCTGCTCCCTTCTGCAGCGGAGAGCGCTCCACTAAATCCTGCCAGAGCTTCAGCTCTGGGGTCCCAACAGTCACCCACACCTGACCCCCTTGCTCACCTGCAAACATCCCTAACCTGCCTGGATGTTCACACATGAGCTTGACCCCTGTCACCAATCAGCACAAAGATATACACGTGCCTGCACACAAGGTACCATGCATGATACGCGGCCCAAACTCGGACTCCAGGGCTGAGCTTGTGGAGTAGATTTGACAAACGGCTCTTGGGCATTCTTGGGGAGGAATGAGTGACAGCTCTGCGGGTGTAAGGTGAGGTGTTGCTGGCAGGTGGGGCAGGACCCGGTTACTTAAGTGCCTTGCTGCCTGGGAAAACCCCAAAATTTGCAGGCATTGGGAAGCTAGAAGCCAACTTCCGGCCTTAGACAGGAGTAGGCTGGGCAATCCTCACTCCCAAACTCGGAGCTCTGAGGAGATAAAGGAAGCTCAGGTCACCTCTTGCTCAGGCTCAAGACTAGAAGTAACAGCAGTACCAAAGACCTGAGGTGAGATCTTAGGAACCACTGCCCAACTGGGCCAGTAGAACCTGAAATGGCCTAGGACCTGGTGAAGTAGCTCACAGAGCAGAGGGCCGGAAGGGATCTGTTCTGCCCTATAACCTAGTCCCCATTTCATTCCAAAAGAGTTTGGTAGCTTTCCTTCCTGAACCTCCTGAAACTGGGGTTCCGTGAGGCTTCACACTCACCCTGGAAATCTCTGCCATCTTGCTTGATCCCCACCCCCTCTGTTGAAGCCCGACGCCTCTATGCCACCCTCCTCTACCTTAGTGCTATCTGGTGTCTCACCTGACATTCAGGTTTCCTCCCGAGGGAACTTCACATCCCACCACACCCCCACAGCCAGACTGGTTATTGACTATCCCCTTCCCAAATCATGGGCTTATTCCTGTCTTAAGCCTTTGTCCCACACCCTTTCTGTGATCCAAGACACCTTCCATATTCCACCTGTCTCCACCCAGCTCTCTCCAAGGATTTCCTCCTAAATTCTCCCAGCCCCATCCGATCATACAGACCACCCATAAAGGACCGAGATCTCTGAGAAGCCATGGTGGTTGGGGGAAAAACAAGGCTGCCCCTCCTCCCATGTAATGGACCAATGCCCCCTGGCCTTCCTCCCCCTCCCCATTTCCTGCTGGGTCTGCAGTCCCCCTCCCCCCTTCCCTCCCTCTGATGACAGATTTATTCCCTGCTCCAGACAAAGAGAGCTGAGCCAGGCACCAGAGACACCTGAGTCCAGCTCTCCAAGGCTCTTTCCCGGGCATCCAGGACTAGGCAGGATGAAGTACTCGGAGCAGAATGCTGCAGTTTTGGCAATGGGTAGTTGGATCTAAGCAGCAGCTACTATCCAGCTGCTGTGACCTCAGGCGGTTCTGAACTCCAGGGATTCCAGCCAATGGAGGTCAGGGGTTGCAGAACTTGCATCTAAGCTCTGTCTCCACAGAATAGCAGATAGTGTGTTCCAGTGATGTGGAGATGCCAAGCAGAGTTCAAGGGATGGCATTCTCCCTTCTCAGGTCTCCTGTAGTCCTTTTAAGAGTACTGTCCTCTCTCTGCTCCACACCTGGTCTCTTAGGGAAGAGCACAGCATAAACTCCGTCTCTCCTTCTTAGTCCCTAGTTTTCTTTGAGCACCTGCCCACTCTCTACCTAACTTTCCCTTCAACACTCCCCGCGGCCGCAGGTAGTTAACCCGGACTTGGTGAGGTGCCCAGAGCTTCCTACTTGGCTCTCTCTCTTGCATCTGGGAGAGAAGGACTCTCACTTCTGAGCTGCGGAGTCCGCCTTGATGGTGCCCAAGGGAAACCCTCTAGGTGTGCGGTCCCGCCCTCCAGCCTGGAGTCCCTGCGCTCCGCGCACTCACCGGTGATGAGCACCGCGCGAGTGGCCACGGGCAGGCGAGGAGGGCGCGCCAGGCGGGACAACGCGATCCAGCCGGCAGCAGCCAGCACCACGAGTGCCGCCGGCGGGGGCAGCAGGCGCTGGCACAGCCAGTCCAGCGCGGCCAGCAGCGCCAGAGCCGCCAACAACGGGCGGCCCAGACGCAGGTCTGAGCGCAGCAGCTGCAGCAGCGCGCGGGCCGCCACTAGCAGCCAGGCGCCGCCCGACGGCCAAGGCCAGCGCTCCATGACTGCGGGCCGGGCCGGGCCGGGGCTAGGGAGGGGCGGGGCGGGGTCCGGGTTGGGGAGCGCGGAGAGGGACTCAGGGCCAGGACACGGAGTGCAGAGAAATCACGGCCTGGGGTGGAAGGGATACTCGCTTTCTTTGCCGGCCCTCGGACACAGCTTATAAAGCTCCCCGAGGGCGGGGTGGGGGCGGGGCGGAGGCGGGGCTGGGGTGGGCTTTCCTGCACTTATATCTCGGCACCCCCCGCCAGGCAGGTGCCCCCCCCCGCCCCGCCCCCTCGGCTAGATCCGCTTTCGAAGAAGCCGGAACAAAGTCCCAAGTTGTTGCACGAGGCGGAGCCGTCAGTCGCCGGCTTCGCCAGGGGAAAGGGCCAGGCTGCCCAACCCTGTGCCCTGCATCTCATTCACTCCTGCGCGCCTACTGGCACGCCAACGGCTCTGAGCCTCCGCGCTCAGGTGTGCACACTCTGCTCACGCTTCCTCAGAATACCTACCTACCTACCTACACACACACACACACACAGAAACACCCACACACAGAGAGAAACACGCGCACACACACACACACACACAGAGAAACACGCACGAACGCACACACACATGCACCAACACCAACTTTCATTCAAGTATTCCACATTGATATCGCCATGACTTCCAGAACATCGCATGGAACCAGCCAGAGTCTGCTCCGGGCCACACCCGCGGTGCATTGGCCTTAGGTTCCTGGTGCACACACCCAAATGTTCACTCACATCTGAGCAGTTCGCAGCCATAGCTAAGGGAGAAGAGTGACCGCCAGGCCGGGATTCTTGGGAGTTTCTGTTTCATCCCCCCACTCTGCCCTCACTTTCTTCCAGAGTCCAGAACTGGGGAAGCCACACAAGTGTATGTGTGTGGGTACGAATGAGATGTCAAAGGAACATCAAAGTCGTCTTCTACTTTTACTTCACCCACCCCCTCCCCAAGAACCAAGCTAATGGGAACACCTGGAAGAAACGTCAGGACAGGGTGGTCCCTGACCTGCTACCCTGAGTCCCCAGGGCATGAAATAAGTAGTGTGTGGGTGCACTTCCCTCCCTGTGTGTGTGAAGGTCCTTGTTTGTGTGTGGCCTGGCACCCCCTGCCACCCCCGTGTCTGGCACTCTGTGCCTAACATGCATGCCAGGGCTCTGGCAGGCATTGGGGGTTAGTGCCAATAGCTGGGTGCCAGGCCCTATGCGGAGAGTAGGCACAAATCGTGGTAGTGGAGATCCCTGCTTCTGTGAATCTCCAGAGCTTGCCCAATACTTCATTCATCTCTGTCTTTTCTGGGTCCTGAGAGGCCATGGACTCCTTATCACAGTTCTCTGTCCTGTGGCTCATTCTCTCTCCTGTATCTGGACTCTGTCCCAAAGTTTCATGAAAACACCCTTTCCAAGGCCACTCTTCCATCCAGGCATGGGTTCCTGATGGGTCAGAAAAATCTCCGAGAAGAAGCTGGAGTCCAGACCCCCTTGCGGGGAGGAACTCTGGGTGGAGACCCCATCTCCACTCAGCCATTCATATGCTTCCATGTACTCTTCCCTCTGTAAATATAGATGATGGTCCAACCCTGGCCTGGGTGGCAGGATTTGCCTGAGTAAGGTGTGTGTGCCTGACCTTGGGTATGTGGCCTTGTGTGGTTGTAGTTGTTGTTGTTGTTTGTTTTGGTTTCGATGCACTTGTGTCCGTGGGGTTCTGTGCCCTGTGTCATGACCTCATATGTTCATGTGTGTAGGTGTGCATGTGGTATGCGTGTTTCCTATAGCTCTCCTTCTGTCTGGGTCATCTTGCTTCTAGAAATTCAGAGAAACAATCCTTTTCCAAAACCACGGACTTGTGTTGTCCCGAGTCAATTGTCCCGGTCCGGAAGAGAAGAGTGTCCCTTACTTTAACTGTGAAAGTTGCGCTCGTCAGCCCTCCCAGATCTGGCTACCCTCCTTCGACTCCAGCTACAGCGTCTCCAGTCTCAGCCCCTCTAAGTACCTCCCCTGGGAAGAGAAGTCCTGGGGGACTGTCAAGCTTCTCACAGAACCAGCACCTAGAACAAGGGTAGAAAGAGATGAGAAAGAGAAGCAAGACAGCAAGATGAAGAGGAGACTGGGAAGCTGGCTCTACCCTGGTCCTGTAAAGCACACGGGGAAGCCCAGGCCTGGGTGGGAGAGAGACCGGCCTGGGTGGATGGGGTAGAGGAGTACAGGACGGCCAAGCTGCTTCTCGTTAGTGTACCACTTCAGGTGGAACTATTCTGAGTCTTGATGAGATTGGACTACCTGCCCCATTTCTTTGACAGCTGATACCCCCGCCCCAGCCCAAACATCCCATTTCCTAGGTCAAGAGACCACAGCACCTCCCTCCTGGGATCTGTGCTCTAACTCGCTGTGGCCTCCTCAGCCGCTGACCCTTTCCCCTCCTCAGGTGGAGGTGCTGCAGAAGTGGAAAGTGTTTCAGAGAGTCATAAACTGGGAGGGGCCGGCCCAGCCCTGTCTGAGGCCTGGTGCCAGGACAAGCCTGTCTTGGGGTAGAAAACCAACCTGGTGCCAGAATCAGGAATCTGGCCTCCATGGGAGAGGAGTGGGGGTGGGTGGAATGGGCAGAGGGCAGGAACCCTAGTAGATAAGGCAGGGCCCAGAAGAGCAGGTTAGTGGAGGGTAACCAGGAGTGGAGCTACCAGCGCCATCGGGTCCCACGCACTCAGACCACAGTCTTAATCTTTTGTCCCATCTCCCAGCCCCAATCTCACCCCTTTGATCAGAAACCTGGTTAGCCAACCGTTGCATGCCCCGGGCTCTGGACGACCAAGGGTCTGTAACTAGAAGGCAGGCTGCTCTCTGCTTTGGTGACCAGTGACTCACTAGCACCATCTGCTGGCTTTCTGGGAGGGTGCAGCTGTAAAAGCGATATTCCTGGAGTCGGACGTTCACTTAGAACTTATTTTTCCTCTGTGGTCTGACTCAGAAGCAGCCCAATCCTAGGGAGCCCTACCCTATAAGATACTCATGCACTCTTTCTCTTCTCTGGCACAGTGGCAGAGTACTCCATTTCCTGCCAATGACTAGTTCTTTTATCATGTTCTAGACCTCACCTCACACTATTGTCAAAGACAGCCAGTTTCTTTCCATAGGGGGCATTTCCATTCGGAGCCTTGTGCATACCAGGCATGCACTCTAATACTGAGCAACATTCCCGGTCCCTTGTGTGTACATGTGGAGGCCAGAGGTCAACACTAGATGTCATCCTCTATGTCTCTCCACTTTATTCTCCGAGACAGGGTCTCTCACTGAGCCTGGAGCGCACCAATTCAGCTAGACTGGCTGGTCAGAAAGCCCCTGGGACCCACCTCTTTCTACCACTCTGAGCACTGGAGTTCCAGATGGCACTATCAATCCTAGCCTTTGTGTGGGTTCTCAAAAACTAAAGTTGGGTCTTCTTGCTTGCACAGTGAACACTTTACCCACAGAGCCATCTCCCCAACCCCAACAGAGCATTTTTTTTTTCTTTTTTCTTTTCTTTTCTTTTTTTTCTGGAGCTGAGGACCGAACTCAGGGCCTTGCGCTCTACCACTGAGCTAAATCCCCAACCCTATAGCAATTTTGTATTGGCTTCCTCCTGGGTGCCAGGTCCTGTGCTTGGACCACAGATAGACCCATGACCGCTGGTCACTTCCCAGCAGCCTCTCTCTCTGGCAGCCTCAGTCCTGCATCCTTTACTCGGGTGGGCGTTGTTCTCATGTGCCCTCTCTCTTCTCACCCACTCTTAGCTGAAGTTATTTTAGTTGCCACTGTTCCTTTCCATTCCCCCAGGTTAGCCCAGGGTCAGTTTCTACTCCTGACCTCATCAGACCGCCTAAGAATCATCTGCCTTCTGCAGTCTCGGTCTCCTCGAAGCCTCTGTTCTTCTGGCCTCTCTTGACTACCCAGCTCTGCCTCTCTTTGCTCCTGGTTTTCCTCCCAGCCCTCTGCCCTCCAGCCTTCCTCATAAACTGGTCTTCCGTGTGGGTGAGCGTCTGGTTGTGGAGGCCTCACACTTACCTCCTCCGCCCATGAGCTCATCTCCTACTCACATGCTGGCGACACCCACACTCTGGCTCTCCAGCCAAGGCCTCCCTCTTGACTCCAGGCCCACGCATCCAGCTGCCCTGGATGCCTCCCTTGGACACCATAAGCCACTTGCACTCAACATGTCCAAAGTTGGTCTCATCATCTTCCTAAGTCCTGGCAGACATCTGCTTCCCAGGATGTCCTTCTCTCCACGCACTGGCCTCCAGACTTCCTGTATTCTGAGCTCTGAGTTGTGTGCAGAAGCCTCGGGACAACTCCCTTTAGTAAATCTGATTATTACCATGTAACCTTCAAGGGAACGGGGACCAAGAGTCTTCTCAGGCCCAACCTCAACACTTAAACTCAGGCTTAAATGCAAAATCAGTGCTTTGGAGAACAGCGTCAATCCAGAGCTGCGTTGACCCGCACATGGCCTTGTGGACTTAATTTTATGGGCAAAAGAGAACATGGTGTGGTCTTGAGCAAATAAGACCTCTGTCCCAGCTGGCCAGGAAGTAGATTTAGGAAGAAGATGTAGGTCTGGAGTCTTGTTGCTACAGCCAGGTAAGGGAACAGAGGTCTTATGTCGACAGACCGAGCCTAGGGTATCTGTAGATACGCAAAGGGCTGAGGCCAGAGGCAGTTGGATACTTGTGGGTAATGTGGCATAGGGGCCCTGGAGATTACTAACTCACTTCTAAATGCCCTACATGTGAGCCAAAACCCCTCTCTTTTCAGAGGTACCCTATTTGGTATGAGCACCTGGAGATTTTGCCCCTTGGTTGCCTGGAGGGAGGGGCAGTGAGATCCAGGATACCACGAGCGTCACCTAGATTCCCAGGCTGTTTCTGTGGCTCTCTCTTGAGTAATTTTATGGCCTCCAAGATTGAAGGCAGATGTTTAGGGAGTAGGGTATCAGAAGGTGGGAAACATTTTGTGCTCTGCAGAATTTTCTGGATCAGCCCCAGGGGGAAAGCAAGGTCCAGCTGAGAGGTCTGC